GTGTAGGTGGGAATTATATACCTAACACTCTAGCTGCCATTCAGTTCAAAACCTAACCCCGAACACAACCCAATAAATAAATACAAGAATGTCCCTTTAAATGTAAAATAATGAAAATTAAACATTTTGATCAAATATCATATCATATTCTTATCTGGAGAAAAGATAGATCATTATCGTATTTTATTTATAATTATCGTCCATTGGACGTTTATTTATAAATTGTTAAAATAAATTATTCATTTAATTGAATTTATTAGGTCTAATCATCTAAATTGGTGTTAATTGTTTGGACTGTGCTTGTGTACGACAAAACACGTAGCCCTTTCACATGAGATGATCCCACGCTGATCTCTAAATTGGTGTTAATTGTTTTGTGGTGAACGCAGGAAGGAAGTAATCTCATAATTTGGGCACGACAAAGTCATTTATTGTCATGGAGAACTTATACAGACAAAGTGAAATAACCACAATCATTGTCCTGTGTACAAATTAGACTATGGTTCTCAATTTATTTTCTTTCTTTATCTTTAATCCTCAAACTTACTTTTTTCTAGCAGACGAGCCCCTTGCTCGTGACTTATTTTTAAGGCTAATATCATCGAGTTCGTTCCCTTTAAGCAACTTACTGCTAATTTTGCTCCCTTCTTTCAACCAACATTTAATGAAATTCCCAACTTTTATCAATTTTTTAACAGTACATTTCATCAACTTTTATCAGAATTTAATTTTTATCTAAATCAAAATGGGCTTAATTTGTTCTTCAACGTTGGATTTGGTACTCAGAGTTCTTGGAAATGACATTTATCTATGCATATTTCTAAATTTCTTTTCTTTTTTAAGCTTTTTTTTCAATCATATATTCTTCGAGTAAAATAATTTTGTACGTAAATTTCTTACTTTTTTAATCACATATCCTCTAAAAAAAAAACCACTAATATAAAATCCAATTTCTGAAAGAAAAATAGGACGTAAACATAGCCTTATATTCTAATTTCTTCATTTCTTTTAGTCAACAATACCTTTTATTTGAGCAATGAAATCACGTTATAATCACATGTTTACACCTAACCATAATTTTGTAAAGCACGTGGGAGAGTGTTGGTAGGTAAATTCAGAATATATATTTAAATATATAAATCGTTTTGTTAATAATTATAAAATATATCAACAAAATTAATTTCAAAAACTTTTATTATTTTAATATTAGAATTTTTTAATTATTTAAAGTCTAATTGATCCAATTTGCAATTGCTTTAAATTGACCCCAAAGTCTCGACATATACCACTTTCTTGTCCATACACGCCAAGTTTAAACCTTCCATCCCAATGGATCTCCCATCGATTTTCCTCTCAGTTTCCTTCATTTTCATAGCCTATAAGCTATTCAACCGCCTCCGGTTCAAGCTTCCTCCGGGGCCTAGGCCGTTGCCGGTGGTCGGAAACCTCTACGACATCAAGCCGGTGCTCGTCAGGTGCTTCACCGAGTGGTCACAAGTCTACGGGCCGATCTTCTCTGTCTACCTTGGTTCGCATCTGAATGTTGTGGTGAACAGTGCGGAGTTGGCTAAGGAAGTGCTCAAGGATAATGACCAGCAGCTGGCAAATCGGAATCGGACTAAAACAATTGAAAAGTTTAGCAAAAATGGAATGGATTTGATTTGGTCAGATTATGGTCCTCACTATGTTAAGGTCAGAAAATTGTGTACTCTTGAGCTTTTCTCGGCAAAGAGGCTTGATGCTCTTAGACCTATTAGAGAAGATGAAGTTACTGCAATGGTTGAATCCATTTTCAAGGACTGCAGTGCTCCTGGTATGAAAATTTCACTTACCAAACTTGCTTTTTCTTTTTGTTTATCTCATGTTTATTTATGTTAGTAGATCTGTCTAGTAGACATCATACTCATGTGGTAAACTGAGTGGAGGCTAATTCTTCCTAGTTTAACTATAAGCACAAGTTCAAATGACTTTTTGTTTTTGAATGTAGATAGCTTAATTTTTTCTTATTTTTAAAGGAAAAATTCACTCATTTCGTAAGTTTATGAATCAAGTTATAGTGTAAAATTTGGGACAGTGAGTAGAAGCTGCTCTTAGATTGAGGTTGAGATGTTGTAAATCTGTGGGAGCTTTTTGCTTGTTTCACATTTCAGTTGATTATTTGTACTCTCGAGATTGGCATTAGGGTTTAATCTCTAACTTCTTATAGCCATCTAGAATTTAGGGGTTTGTTTTAGTGGACGAGAGTGTAGCTGTAATTTTGGGAGTCCTTGTGCAGAGGTTAGGTCACCACTTTCAGTTTGTTTTCTTGATACTTTAAAATCTTTATTTATTGCGGTCGTTTTTGTAAATCTTTGGTTAGGCGTCATTATTAGATGACAATGCTTGAAAAGATCCGAAACTGTAGATTGAAAACATTAATAGCGTCCTTTATGAAGAATAAAATTATTACCAGGGAAGTGGATTAATGGCCTTGAATGCACAATACTAGGTATTGAATCCGAATAATCTCCCTTGCCCGTACTGGTGGTACCTACATGGTCTTCTGCCTGAACTTCCCGCCAATCTTCAGGGTGCTCCAAGTTCTTCACATTAGTTGGGTGCGGGGAACTTGAAGAGGGAAAAAAAGAGAGAGAGAGAGCTCCGGAGGGTGTGATATGCGGTGAAATTGGCATTACCTGTAAGATTTAACCAAGTAATAGCTAGAAGGAACAATGGAAGTGAAAGAAATTGGGTGAGTTGTGCAAGACTGTGTCTTTTTTCTTTCGTTTTTGGTAAAATTTTTTTTTTTTTAAAGATTATCATAATGAGAACAAGACTTAGTTTGTTGTTGGCAGTTTTTATATTTACATACCATGTGTGTTTGTTGATTGCTGAAATATGCTCTGAACCATATAATTGGCAAAATGTGACTTGAAACATGCACATGTATTCAGATTCTAAAATATTAGCACTATCTGTGCTATTTGCTATACTACTGTACTTCAGTTTCAACAGCTGAAATGGTTTTGCATTTGTTGCAGAAAACAAGGGGAAAGCTTTGGTGCTGCGTGAATATTTGGGAATGATGGCATTCCTCCACATTACAAGATTAACTTTTGGGAAGAGGTTTATGAACAATGCGGGCGTAATTGATGAACAAGGACAAGAGTTGAAGGGCATTCTAAACGATGCAATTAAGTTGGGTACCAAAAAATCCCTAGCTGAGTACCTCCCAATGTTACGTTTCTTATTCAAGGCTGAAAATGAAGCACTTGCTGAGCATGATTCCCGTGCGGATCACTTCACTAAAAAGATCATGGAAGAACACACTATTGCACGCAAGAAGACTGGTGATACCAAGAATCATTTTGTCGATGCATTGCTAACTCTTCAGAAGCAATATGACCTTAGTCAGGACACTGTCATCGGGCTTCTCTGGGTAGGTTACTTTTTTCTTATTTTTCAATAATAAAACTTCCTTATTAGCTACTTTTGTCAAAACTACTTACTTTATAGGTAAATGTTTTAAGCTTAAACAAACATACTCAAGCAGGCCCTGCATTTTTCCGTAATAAAGATCTGGATTTTAGTGTGCTGCGGCCACATTAAATACTGACATCAACTTGTGCAGGATATGATCTCTGCAGGCATGGACACCACTACCATTACAGTGGAATGGGCAATGGCAGAGCTAGTTAGAAATCCGAGGGTCCAAAAGAAGATTCAAGAGGAGCTCGACCAAGTGGTCGGTACTGAACGTCTCATGACAGAAGCCGATATCTCCAATCTCCCTTACTTGCAATGTGTAATCAAGGAATGCTTTAGAATGCACCCTCCAACTCCACTAATGCTCCCCCATAAAGCCAATGCCAATGTGAAGATTGGTGGTTATGATATTCCTAAGGGAGCAACAGTAAGCGTTAACGTATGGGCTCTTGCTCGTGATCCAGCCGTGTGGAAAAACCCTCTTGAATTCCGACCTGAGCGATTCTTTGAAATGGATGTGGACATGAAGGGTACAGATTATCGTCTACTTCCCTTTGGTTCTGGAAGGCGTATCTGCCCTGGCGCACAACTTGCTATCAACTTAGTCACGTCGATGGTTGGACACATGATGCACAACTTCACTTGGACACCACCTCCCGGTGTCCGGGTCGAAGATATTGATATGATGGAGCAACCAGGAACCGTCACTTACATGAAAACCCCACTGGAATCTGTTCCAACACCAAGATTGGCTGCCCACTTGTTCAGGCGGGTTGCCGTGGGTAATGTATAAGGTACCGGTGGTTTCTCAGCAGGGTTCTTGGGCTACATCATTTTTCACATCGTACTTCCCATGTTTGCCTCCATTTTATATTTTGCACGTCGTTCTTTTTAGATTTGTTCTCTCTCTTGGACTCCCAATTCTTCATTAGTTCTGTCGTACTTGTTGAAATATAGCTTTAATGCAAATGTATTCCTAAAGAGCTACAGAATGATACTTCTCTTTCTCTCAGTTTATGGATATGAATAACACTTTGCAACAGATGATAGGGCGCCTGGATTTCTAGTAATCAAGTTCCTTTGATAATTTGCCCCCTTGGAATATTTTTCTTGGGTAAAATGCCTAAATTGTGCACAATTTTTATGTATCTTTATTTACTTTAGGCAGAATTTTTTCAAAACTACTACAGCTCGAAAGGTTGAAATATAGACGCTCTACAAAGGATTGCGAATGCATTACAAGGAAAAATACTCCCTCCCTCACAGCATTAGGCTTCTGGAAATATTATACCAGCCATTCATCAGCTTCAGTATAAGTTCACGTTACCATAGCCTGAAATGCGTAGCAGACTTCGAGGAACAAAAATGGAGGTCCACTCAGTTGTTGCAAGTCTAGAACGTATATTGTTGCGCTGGCTTTATAAAGCTGGAAAAAGATCTGAAGATTAAACTACAATTCAGAAATATAATGCCTCTCACTGTAAATAAGAAAAGAAAAACGCCTAGCAGGAATATTATAGCAAACCTAATAAATGTATGGATACCAATTATAGTTCAAAAAATTTTGATATATGGTCGCAAGAATAAGGGTATAGTGTGATTAGGTTCCACATATAGTAACAACTTCGGTGCAGCTTGGTTGCTTCCTCCTTTTCCCATGGAAGAATCAAATTGAGACCAACCCATAGAATTAAGAACTTAACATCTAGGACTACTACAAAGTACAAATGACTAGCCTAAAATGACTGAGACTGGATGAGTAACCAGGCAAGATAAAAATCAAGTCAGAATGCTCCAATGTACAACCCAGCCCGCGTAAATAATGATCACCCTACATAACCCACATGCTATTTCATGGGGTGAAGGTGTCAAAAGGGATACGACCCGTCTTAACCTGCCCCGGAAAGGCCACACAGAAGGCCTGTCCAGCCCATCCGTGGTGGCAGGCTGTGCCTGGCTCCTGCCCAAAATACAGGGCCAGTCTTGGCTCTTATGCAGCAGGGCCTGTAATAGGCCGGACCACAGCAGTTTTGGCACCTGTTAGCACGATTGTAGTACAGTAGACAATTTTCTTTTTTGAGTGTCATGCCGACATGGACATTTTCCAAGTGAAGAATCACGACTGAACACCATTTTGGATACTTGGGCTCCGTGAGGGTGAGACTCCAAGTACTATATTTTGTTATTTACCAAAATTTCTCTTTGGAGGGGAAGGATGGATTGTTGGTGTGGACAACTTAGAAGATGTTATTGGAGGACACTTCACTCACCTGAATTTCAAACTTGACAGTGTCACCTGATCTACAATCTGTCCCAGTGGTAGATCTCGATTGCATTGAAAGTGGAGGTAACCACATACATTTCATGTTATACTGTCTTATTTCCTTCCATCTCACGTTTAAACTCTGGAAAACCTTTAGAATGCTCATCATGGTTTCACGTGGAGATGCTCGAGACTGGATCCATAAAATTATGAAAACAAGTCAATAAAAATGAATAAGCAAGTCACACTCCTATGGAAGTATGAAATAGAACTTACTGATCCAGATAACAATTATTACCTTAAAGCCAAGTTTCCAATTACTTTCAACAGGAGAGGCTGTCTGTAAAAATGTCTGAAGATGATCCATGCATCCCTGTTGCCCAAAATCAGTTATTCAGAAATATGCCTGTACTAGTTGATCATGTTATTAATGCATGATATATATTGCTGTTTACATTTCTTTTCAACTGATTTAAGGATTAGTTAAGCAAATGAATGCTTCTTGCTACGTTAACACATTTTTCTAATTACAATCTCTTAAAAGAATTAAAGGCCTGATGGTGGAAATATAACTAAAATTCATAAGCAATTTTTGTATGTTTATCTTATCTGTCATCGACTAATAATTGCAATCAAAAGAGAGATGATTTGTTTGTGGCATAAGCAGATTGTTCAAACTAATCACAAAGCTGCTTCAGTGAAAAGAATCAAGGTATACAGAAATTCTAGCAACATACTTTTGGCCAAGACAACCAGTAAGAATTTAATTAATCATCTTTTTGGCTTAAGAGATGTTATGATATTAGGCTGAGTTGCTTCTGATGCACGGCAATAAGAAATGAGTTTACAACTACAAAAATAAAGATTGAACTGACTATAGATTCTAGAATCTTGTGATGGCAATATACAGGGCCTGGAGAACGGGTATGCTGTAACATGCGGTATGTAACAGTAGCCTGAAACATTAAACAATGTTAAATTTCGCAGGAAAGAGAAAAAAAAAAGGGGGAATCACACCCTAAGGAACCATCATTACCTCATTTTGCAAATTATTCTGAAGAGATCCAATCACTTCACGGATAACGAATCCCAACTTAATCATTTCTTTCAAAACATCCATATCAACCTTTTCAATTTGTAAAATATAAAGTCAGCCTCCCAATTTCGTCGCAGAAATACAGCAATGTAATTGGATGGAACCATGAATTAGTTAAACTAAAATCCCACATGACATAAATTTTCTGCAGAGAGAAGAAAGTAGAAACGAAGATAAATATTTACTAGGTTTGCATTTACTAGAGGAGTGTCAATTAACATTATGTATTTTTTATTTATTTATTTATTTATTCCAGTCACCATCCATTTCTTCTGCAACCACGAAGTATTCCTAAACTACATACAAAAAGTCTACTCCATGTGTCTGATTTTGTTTGTTATATTTGACGCCGTGGTCAACTTGAAATTTTTTTTAAGTAAAATTTAACTTAGTCTTTAATTTTAAAAAATGTTGTTTTTGATAAGTTAAACATATTTCTCTGGAGGTAATTCCCTATGATCTGTGTAGCCCTCCTGGCATAACAGCTGGCTGACATATACTGCCTTGGGCTGCACACTAACCAACAAATCGACCTTCTGGAAAAATGCCGCCTGCAGAGTTCCTGATCCTAGGCCTAGCGAGAAATTTAAACACTCCTTTAAGATAACTAAAGCCACCCATTGGGAGCTTCGTTCCCCTAAAAATTGTTGCTCACTGAACCTAGTGCCCAAGTTGGCCCACAAAGGATGCCATTCTTGACCAGCGAGATAATGCTTTCACAATATTCCACAATTTCAACAATGCCAATGCACCGCGTCTCCAGTCAATAATATCAGTCCCCTCAAAATGGATTCCAAACGACTCAAAACTTGGTGGGAGCTCCTAACATCTCAAGGAAGTCCGGACTGATAGGTTCTCAAAATTCTTCCACTAACTCTGCTCGATTCTCAAAAGTGCTGCATGTGCATATGTTAATTACCTCGTTGCCATCCCCCTTCTGCATTGGTCATGGACATTGGTGCCAATCCAACATGCGGTCTGTGATATTGTGTCCGTGCTACAATAACGGAAACTCTGTAATCTTCCATAATTTTCTCAAAGAAACAGGTTAATCGGCGTTTATCTTCGATGCATTATGTTTATTGACGCAGTAAGAGTCAAGGACACAGAATTCGCTGAAGACGTATGAGATGATACAAAAATATAATTAGATGATCAAAATGAATAATAGTTACCTTTTCTGTTTTGCTTAAAGCATCTGTTGATGGACTAGCAATATATAGAGGCAGATTTTCCCGAAACCATGGATGTTGACGTATTTCAGGAATTGAAATGCGTTTCATTGGATCAACAACAAGTATTCTTGAAATCAAGTCAAGTGCACTCTTTGACAAGTGAGGTGAAACAGGGTATACTCCTTTCTAGTGGTAGTGGAAAAGGAATGGCAGAAATAAGAGATGACATCAAGCTTGGAAAATATCAATTATAACATTTACTCACCTGTACTTTGGCAAATAAGCAAGACATGTTTGCATCCTCAAAAGGAAGCCTTCCACACAGAAGTGCATATAAGATAATGCCACAGCTCCATACATCTACTTCAGGACCAGCGTATAATTTTTTACACATGAGCTGACAAAAGATAATATGACTATGATTGGAGTACAAGGTTATTTCAATATATATGATAATATCATCGATACTGAACCTCAGGAGCAGCATAATTTAGAGTTCCACAAAATGTCTTAAGGAAATGCCCATCAAGTGTAATGTTCCCAAGACCGAAGTCTGCGATTTTGACATTATGTTTGGCATCCATGAGTAGATTTTCTGGCTTGAGGTCACGATGCACCACCTTGTGTCGATGACAATATTCAATGCCCGAAATTATCTGTTCTGACATCAAACATACTGCCTTGATTACTAGAAGCTAGTAAATCTGTATTTGGTCTAAAGTTGGAAAATCAGAAGTAAATATTAAATGTCATTTGTTGCACTGTATGGTTGTTAGGCATATGATGTTTTATGCTAAATACATCTTAGAAAGAATTAATATTATTTTTTTCCTGGAAGCACAATTGAGCAGTTTTATCTCACAAACGTATTAGCTTATGGTAATATTGGAATACATACCTGTTGGAAAAAGTGGCGGGCCTTATCCTCGTCGAGTCGAACACGTAATGTAACATAATCATATAGTTCGCCTAAATCCATGTGTTCCATGACTACATAAACTTTTGACTGTGTATCTATGACCTCAAATAGGCGAACTATGTGGGGATGTGAAAGTCGTTTCATTATATTGATTTCTCTTCTCACTGAAACAGCAAGGCAAAACGATGTAAAAGATGTCATTTCATCTGTATCACAACATCCAAGTACAAATTAACATGTTCATCATACTGTTATTGACTATTTTTTATGCCATATGCCCAAACTACAATATTTTAGAATACATAAAAAGAATATTCAGGCATATTGTCCTAGAATAGTCATGTATATAGATCACTTATTTGTTCCATTACGTAACACATTTAAAAGATACTGTGTAAACGTGATGAGATCAACAAATTTACCTTTATCTGCATCCAAATTATTGATTGATTCGCGATCAAGAATCTTTATCGCAACATTAAGCCCTGTCAAGGTATGAACTGCTAATTTCACTTTACCAAATGCTCCAATACCAAGCGTCCTGACAAACTTGTAGTGTGGTAAAGGATCTCGATACAAATTACTGCCCCCACCATTACTTTTGCTCATCTTCAGACTGCAGCAAAATATGTAGAAGTTACATCAAATGTTTACAGGAATAAAATAGATAAAGTGAACGCTCAAAGAAAGGTAAGAAATCTCTGAAACATCCATCGACTAGAATGCCATGACAAACCACCAAAAGAACTAGAAGTCTCCTTATGCTCCACATTTTCTTAAAATCACAGGAAAACATGAAATATGTATAGCCACCATGTTGATACATATTTGCGTGGCATCTTCTTCTTCTTCTTCTTCTTCTTCTTCTTCTTTTTTTATTTTTTCTTATTTTAAGTCTTATTTATTTCCAAAACTATACTTTTACTTTCTTCTAAACTTAGGTAAACATGTTGTTGCAGGAAGGAGATAATGGAGACATCAAATGACAGTCAGTACTATAACATAGCAGAACTAGGGTATATATACTTAAAAAAAATTTATAGATTTAAGGTAATCGAGAGTGCTATAATGTTTTGTTAGCTTTTCGATATGAACCTTCTTTCCCTTTGGAAAGTCATAGGACTTGATAAATATATGTTGTTAACAGTGAGCAGATGGATATAGTTATGCCATCAATATTTGCTTTGTTTTCATTTATGACAAACGATAGCTATAGATGAAACCTTAAATCACAGAGCTAGTAATAGTTTACATTATCACATAAAGATATTCAGATGAAATAGAAAAAACAAAATAAAAGTAAACTCATCATCGTCACCACAAGGAAGAACATGTAAATTTTACTGAGCAATAAAGAAAACGCCAACACCAGCAGCATTTACTGCGTCGGTGCGCCAAACAAGTATATTTTTTGGTGGGAAGTAAAATCAATTGATACTCTTTGTTTTCTTGTTTTTGTTTTTTTCTTTTTGATCTGAAGATGACCAAAGACATAAATGCTCGTACCAATTAGTAAGTTCATAATTTGATATTTATATGCATAATCCATGATCAAGCATCATAAATCTAGTTGACAACTATCATGAATTGTTTCCAGATCAAATCAGATCATGATCAGAAAAAGAAAATAAATTATTCAATTCCAACAAACTGGAAGATTGAATTCAAGAACTACAGTACTAAATTCAAGAAAACATGAGCAAAATTTTAGAAGAAAGCAATTTATCAGCCTAAGCCAGAAATTATGCATTAAAACAAAGTGAAAGATTATGGGTTACTGTGTTGCAGAATCGCTCATATCATACAAAATTGAGGAAAATCAATTCATGAAATCATGTTTGAAACTTATATGGTGTATTTACATACCAAATTGAAAGAGCCAGACAGCAGTAGAAGGCAGAGAAGATGGTGAAGCCTTCTCAGTTTTTTTTTACCTATTATATATTTTCTAGTTGATTCGGATGAGCTCTAAATGAATGAAGCCTTGAATATAACATCAAAACTAGAGGACAGCATGTATGCAGTATGTTATGCTAGAAAGGTGGCGAACACGACAAAATAAGATAATACAAAAAGCAAAAGGGAGGGGCATGAACGGTGCTTCCCTCGCTTGCATTAATGCCATGGCAAATTTCTCATAAAACCATAGATGTATTTTGATCGAGGAAATAAAACTAACCTTAAAATATGTCAAACAGTAGCTAAAGATAAAACCTCAAATCACAGAGTTAGATTTCTCTGTGCAAGTAAAAAAATTCAGGAAGAAACCTTTTTCGGTACATTCTAGTGGAGATGATCATGGACAAACATTTCATATGCCTATCATCATTATTTCCAACCCTATCGAGTTCAACATTACCAAACATGTCACTAAAGGTCAACTTTAATAGCAATCTTTTTTGTAGTGCTCTAGATTGACTGGAACAGCGGAATGTTTGTCCTAAAATCCTTATCAATGATTTATGCAATAAATAGCGCTTTAACAATTTTTTAAGTATATTCATATGAACCTTCTTTCCCTTTAGAAAATAAGAGAATTTGATGATCAATTTTCTCAATAGAGTCCAGATAGATATGATTATGTCATTAAATATTTGCTGTATCGTAAATGGACAAGGCAATATGCCAAAAGATGAATCCACGGATCACAGGGAGCTATAATTTTTCTGATCATGTCAAAAAATATATAGAAAGGAAAACAAATAAACATAAACAAAAATAAATATATCGTTATTGCAAGGAAGAAAAATTATATTTCACGAAGAGACAGTGATGCGACAATAACAGCTCCATTAACTGCATCTCTGCACCTAACTAGTATACTATTTGTTTGGAATAACAACAATTCCTTTACGTGAAAATTACCAGAGAATTAAATGTGTAAGCACGACTTAAATTAAATTTATAATTTTATATTCGGATACATAACCCATAATCAAGCATCAAACAACGCAAAAGAATGATTTACGAGATAATCTAATCATGTAACCAAATCATGATTCGACAAAGAAAAAAACTTAATTAAACTTCCCAAGAAAATTTAAGATCAAATTCAAGAAATCACGTGCAAGGAAACAAATAATTTATTAATCCAAAACACGGCAATGACACAGTAAAACAAAATGGTAACAGAATTCATCAACAAGAATCAATCTTATCATAAAAAATGAGCAAAATCCATGCTTGAAGATCATATACGTAACTTAATGCAAACATGTGGTGTGCATACCAGATACAAAGAGTGAGAAAGAAACAGAAGGCAGAGCAGTTGGTGATTAGTTCTTGGGTTTTACCTTCTATTATATAGATAGATCATAGTTGATTCGGACAAGCACCAAACAAAGGGAGTCTTGAATACAACGTCAATGACTCAAAACTACTGCAGAACAAACATACCGTGTTAGAAAGTGGACAAAACAGAGAATACAAAAGGAGCATTTGTCATGCACTTGAGAGTGGAGCAAATTATTCGTGGGATATTTTGACGGCACCAATTTTGATCCATAGAAGAGTGTTTTACAAGAATAGAAAATGATCTTATTTTATTTTATTTTTCATATTTCATAAAGAATGTCCGGTGTACAATAGTTAAACTTATTATTATTATTATTATTATTATTATTATTATTATTATTATTATTTGTGCATAAGAATGTTTAATATTTTGCTACAAGAAATTTCGGTACAATTAGGGTGGTTCCACCTCTTGACCAAGAAAGTCATTGTTGCCATTGTAAATTTGTAATTAGCAATCATTTTATTTTGTTTTGAATTGGAAAGAGAAGGAGAAGAGGACAATATTTATTCGTGCTTGGAATCCATTTATAACTTAGAGCATGCTTGGTACAACTTAAAATTCAATTAAAATCAATTTTTTTACCGTTATTTCATTATTTCAACTGTCATTTTTTAATTTTTCTCTTACATGTAGGACCCACTTTATCTCTAACGATCAAAAAATCAATTAACAAAATATCTACCAAACAAGCATTTACTCATGTTGTTCTTAATTTGTAGGATTTTTATTTATTTACTTAATTTTTATTAAATTCATATAATTAATTTATCTTATAATTTGAATCATTCCAACTAGTATTTAGGTCTATCAATATTTTGAGACACGATTTAAATAGGGTCCATACCAATAAATTTCGGGGAGGATAACTTGACAAAATTTCTTATTCAACATTAAAACGCATAAATATTTGTATTCGAATAAATCTTGAATCACATAGACAATCATGGGAAAATTTTAAGTGATGTGATCATTCAACTTATATTTTTATTTCAATTTTATCACTCAACTATTACGTCCACAATCATTATCAAATTGACAAGAGTTGTGACCCAACTAGTGAAATTTGTTCTTTTGTCACAATGAAAGGCTTAAATTTGAAGAATAAAAATTGTGAAATGTGTACATTTGATTTGAGCACCCAAAGGTCATAGATTGGGTCATTGTTGACGGCCCAAAATTGCTCCAAATTCGTTGTCAATAGATCTTTAACCACGCTTCATTCGGCATGTTCTCCTCCACACGAACTCATCGTTAGTGGTTAACGGCAATGTATCTAGGAGGTCGATGGTCAAAAAAGTAATCGAAAAAGATTCTATAAGCTAAACTTACAAGACTTTAAGTAGAAGGAAACAAGATGGAAAGGAAGTGTAACTAAGAAATAGAGTTCGCCTCTTTTATGACACGTGTCATGTTGTTAATAGAGTTTTTTTTTTTTTTTTTTTGACTTTCACAACATTCTTTTTGATATACAGGTCATACTTTTTTACTAAACTTTCTTTCATACATGCTTTTCGAGTACACATGTCACTTACCCGTAGATCAAGTCTTTACTTCCCACATATTTTTCCGAGTAATATTATCTAGCCTCGTGATATTAGAACACTAATTTAGATAACTACACTTTATACGTTTAATTAAATGAGTCATATGACTTTGCATTTAAATAAATCTACCATTTAATAACACGTAATTATCACCAAAATTATACTTAATATTAGTAATGATGAATAGCATTACTCTATTTTCTCTAATGTTTAAAATATTATTTTCGTGTTTTACTTTGCTGAAAATCCAAATGCTTGTCTTCAATAGCTTCAATGTATTTCTTTGAACTTTTATAGACTTGGACGAAGCATAGATCATCGTGGCTCCCCTTACTGGATGCTTTTAAAAGTGGGTCACACGTGGAAAGGCTTTGGCCGTACGATGCCTTTAAGTTAAAATCATCCACCAATCAACAAGTTACTTGGCATTTGCACTTTTTTACTCAAGTCTGCCCAAGGTCTCTTTTCCTGTGACCCAAACACAAACATGGAAGAGAACAATACAAAACAAACAGGGTCAATCTATACACGCTCAGTCCCAACCAAGAATCCAGATCACGGCCAAGATCCAAGGCCTCCCGCCGCCGTAAACGATGGAGAAGAGGAAGAAGAAAACCCAGAAACAATTCGAGAGGCCAAGAGAAGAAAAACCTGCTCAATTGCTCTGGACAAGCAGAAAACATCTATGAATTCGAGTTTCTCATTCTTCTGTGGAAGTGGTGCTTCTACTCCTGAAACAACGCCTAAATTCGGATCGTTCAATTTGGTAGTGGAAAGTGCCAAAATTAGAGGACCTGAAAAGGCTCGAGATGATGAAGAAGTTGAAGCCACTGCTGAGAAAAATGTTGTGTCTGGATTGGATTCGACAGATGGTATTGAAACTGTAATTTGAAGAAAAATAAGTTTTAGGATGTCTTATCAAGCTTGAAAGTAAATTCTTGAAAATTTTCAAGAAAACTCTTTGTTAGCAGGATTCTCTTGTAAGCAGCCGAAGTTACTGTTCTTCCAAGAAAATAATATTAGCACAATTGACGTTTAGAAATAGCAGTTTCAAAACTATGGATATGCACTTCCAAGAAAAAGTTGCTTTTAGGCAGAAATGCTTTTATGATTGGCTCTAAACACGAGGGGGTTACATGTGACCTAGATAACCCCTGATAGGAATTTGGGAGTCACAGAGCAAAATAAAACGATTTTTTTTTCTTTACAGTATTTGTTGGCTGTTAATTAAGAAGAATTAATTTTGTTTGATGCTCAATAAGACATAGCCAGACATACGGATTTACTGAGAATGCACTTTGAAGAAATCATTAAAAATAGTGAAAAGTAGAGCTTAAGTAAATTATGGTGCCAACACAAGTTTGCAGTCAATTAGACAAACGTCAAGTTTTCTGTATTTCTATTTCAAACACCACCTTAGACGGACCTAACATGACATGTGCGCAAGTATTACCAATGAAATTGAGCCAACTTTACCAAAATCACATAATCTGAGTATGAAATAGACCTCCCTTCGAATGTTTAAACACAGAAGTTTTCAATGCATTTAACATAAATCACCAAACAACAACGATAGCAACAGATATATTGTTCTTCTATAAGTAGTGGCGGATCCAGGAAAATCAATACGGGCTAATACGTATAAAAAAAAATATTGCACATAAAAAAAAATTTATAGCACGGCCCAGCCCGTCTGTGAATCCGCCCATGTATATAAGGATGATAAGATCGATTATTGTTCACAATCATTCATCGTTAATAGATGTTCATACATATCTAGATCAATTAATCGTTATGATCGATGCCTCATAATTCGAGACACTGCAATCTCAAAATCATTCACAGAAAAGGAAAATCCTCTACACTAGTGCACAAGTCCTAAGATTATTTTTTTTGAAAACCGTGGATATCCAGGCCAACTTACGCACACCTCGACTAATTCCACGGGACCCTAAAGTTTACTGTCGAGTACTCACCTCAATGGTCCTGGAGGGACTCCAACTGGTGACCATTAGGGAACAAATCTAAGGCCTGATCACTAAGTTACCCCTCAGGATTACAAGTCCTAAGATTATAAAGAAACAAAAGATAAACTGAAGATGAAGAAAAGATGGAAATGGAGGGGGGAAAGGGTGGAGATGGAAAGGATGGCAGCTTTACCTTCGCTTTTCCTCTCGCGCTAAAATTTATCTACTTCCTACAGTAGTAATCTATGGGTTTGCGTACAGTTAACTGATGCTACTTACAAGCAGTTCTTGCACTTTCAACATTCTTCAGAATTCACAAGAAGATCCAACCCTTAACTTTGGCAAGAGTATGGATTTTCTTCCCTCGAAAGCCTCTGGCAGAAGTTTCTCAAAACTATCCAAGAATAATTCCCATTCCTGATCATTCATTTCCCCGAAAGAAATTCCTTCAGCGTCATGACTATATTTTGGAGCGGGGAAACTCATACTTCTCATCAAGACACCTGCCTTGGAATTATAATCCTCATTTGCATCATCATCCGATTCGGTGTTCAAATCTTGAAGAATGTCATTTTCATTCAAATGAAACAGCGTCGAATCATCTAATATACTCAGTGATGAATATCTTGGAATTTTCAGTGGCTTACCACTTATTGCCAGAAAATTCTGTGAGTTCTGAGCAAAATCTATAACCTGATTGGGGCCATATTCATTTTCATTAAATTGGGATATCTCACAAACTTCGTCTTCATCATGATCATTGCTGACAATATCATTGCTTTTTCCAAAGTTCAAGCCAGCCCTAGAATTTATACAGATATTCTCGAATGCACTCCAATTCTCTTCCTCTCCGTGAAACTCTCTAGTCATCATTTCACCTATTTCAGCAAGACAAAATCCATAAGCCGTTGCTTGCTTCAAAAAGATTGTGCAAAGCACAAGAATCCGTACAGAGGACTCCCTAATTGCTGGAAGTTCAACTCTTAGAAGCTCTGCATCTTTAAATGGATCGAGACTGGATATATATTCAACTTCAGACTCTGAAAAAGGTATAGAGGCTTGTGGCCAATGCAACCACTCAAAATATGGATCGTCAAGTGATTCAGGTAAGCAAAATCCATGGTCTATGGGAACTAGCTCAGCTTTTCCCGCCACATAACCCTCTTTCCCTTGCTTCACTAGAATGTTCCCAGCATGTCTATCAAGATTCATCAGTCTAACATCTAGTATTCCTATATGGTGTATAGATGAGACTGAGAAGCCTGAAGGGCCCAAATCTGCCGCATCAGAATAGTGATTTACAAAACTTTGAAGTGACGCAATCTTATAAAGCGGGGCAAGAACTACTTCTGAACTATTGACATTAAATTTGACATGAGAAAATTTGACTAATACTGTAGGAGGGACACCAGCAAATCCACCATGGTCAAGGAGATAAGCAGCAGATTCACGCAGGCCAGTTTCACCTATCTTGATTGAGCGTTTGATTCCCGGTTGACCAAACATACGGCCACAAAAGCCTTTTGGATTATTGAATGCCAGAGGTTCCTCATCTATGGGCTTTGCAACAGCTATAGGATCACCATTTCGAGTGCGCAGAAAATAGGCCCCACCAAGACCACTAGAGACTGGCTCGGGATTGATGCCAGAGGCCATAGCTATGGCAACCTCAACAACCATATTGCGTACTCTTGATGTGGCACGACCACCAATGATTTCAATCCTAGCATTGATATCAGATTCATCCTCGACTCTAGAGGAAATAGATAGGCATGGGGTTGAGAAGCTTCTGTGGATGTTAGTGAACTCAAATGTATGTTTCAAGGAGTATATAAGATTGGATTGGCTGGAGTCGAGCATTGTGTTATCAGGCTGAGTGTAAGACTGGAGTTTGCATCTAGGAGGTCGAGCAAATGGCCTGAACCCATGACCTGGATCAACAGTAACAGCCATCTTGAAGAATGTCATGCATGTGAAAATGGCTATCATACATGCTAAGGTCTGCTTTTCAAAGTATCCCTAGAGGGTTGGTTTTCCCTGGAGATTAGACATCACGTGTCTGCAATAATAATAGAAAGCTCAGAGTTCTTCAACTCAATACCAAATAAAATTAAGAAATCTGAACAAAAAAATAAGAAAAGTTGCTCACAAACACCATATTGTCCCTCAGAATCATAAAATGGTAAGTTAAGATTGTATCTTGTGTTTGGACTGTCATTTAGGTGAATCAATATGTAAAAATTATCCAACACTAGATTGTAACTAAATTAACATGATCCAAAAAGAATTAAACTTGCTTGTTTATATTCCCAGTCATTAACAAATTTGAAATTCAAAAGTTTCCCAATCATTAGAGGTATATTAATGTCACCATACAATCAGTTTATTCAAATGTCATTTCTTCCATTCATCTGAACTAACGGGGGCATTTCATGTTATGGCAAATTATTAACATTTTACATGATGTCTAAAGGTGTGTTTCATAAGGTTTACTTTGATAATAAGATTTGGACAACAAAAGACGAGAGAAAGGGGAGAGGAACAGCATTAATTTGATCAGAACATACAAAAAGAAATATAAACAAAGAAAAGGCGACATATACTCTTAAGATTTGTATAAAAAGGCCGCAAATATTAACAATAAAAACCATTGTGCTAATCTCGACCACATATGAAACACCAAACAGTTCATAAAAATTCTTCAGATGAATAGATACCGCATATATGGATGGATCATGGATCATTGAGTTCAGAATTTTTACAAATAATTGTTGAAACATAAGATTAAAAATACACATACCATCATATTAGTCCCTCGCCGCTAAAAACCACTACAATAAACTGGAAATGAGATAAAAACAACAATATGATCCCCAGTTGCTCTTAATTCAATCAAACATTAGAATTTAATCTTCCATAATTTCATAAAACAAGAATAGATCCATTCCTTCAGAAGAAAAATCACCACATTATCCATTGAAATTTAATTAATTTCTGCAATTTCATACAAACCACTCCGTAATTGTCCCTTAACCGTGCAGACATAAGCATGTGCAGATAGGGTGATTCAAAACTAAAACGTCCACAATTGTTAATTAAGTGAAATAGGAGACATTGCAGGATTGACTCCTCTATAGGAGACATTGCATGATTGACTCCTCTATCATAGTGTGTGCATCAACTAAGAATTATCTATATCATAATTTGGCTTGAAGCCCAAGTAGAATTTACTGAAGGGAAAACAAAATCCAGATCATGGAATAATAATAAATAACACATTTAAAACAATAATATTTCACAATGTAACGAAGAGAAAACCAGAAATTAGCATAATAGAGAGAAGGATTGTAATTGGTTGTATTTCAAAGAAGAATGGTCCATATTACAAATTAACATCAAGACCATTTAAAAACCTATGCATTCAACAAAAGGTAAAACCCAGAATCATGAAACAATCACAATTAACGCTGAGATTTCACAAGGAGGATAGATACATACCCAGAAATTAGCAAAATGAAGGGAGAAAACGAAAATCACATACCCTGAATACTGGTGAGGCATTCAGGGAGACGGAACGGCAACGGGAGAGAGCGAGAGCGAATTATTCCGTTACCGAGAAACTCCTAAAAAAGACGAAGTCCCCCACTCCCTTCTCCTTTTATGCCCTTTCTTTCAATTGATACCCCCACTCAGTGGGGACTCTTCTCTTCCTTATAAATTCCTCTCTCTCTCTCTCTACAAACCGGTAAATCCTCTCTCTCTCTCTCCCTCCCTCTCCCACTCCCACCCTCCATTGTTTTCGCTCAATGCACAACTGTTTTCTATTTATAGATGATGATTCATTAATCTTCGCAGTTGATACCACATGGGGGAATTTTCCGGGACGTCATCGAACTTACAAGTTTGTTTCATGTTAGTCATCCGACTTAAGTTTTTTACTATCTTTTATGTGATGGATCTCACATTTTCATTTTCAAATGGTGAGTAGTGGCTACCGTCAAATGTGTTAAATCATAATTTTTCTGGACAATAAAAAGTGTAATCAGCTATAGTAACGACTCCAAGCTCCAGAACTAAATTGAAACATAATATAAGTTAGATAATAAAATTAAAGTATCGATATCAAAACGAGCTTGTAACCTAGAACCGAGGGTGTCTAGCCCCGTCTAGTCCGAACTAATTCACAAGTTGGATCAGTTTATAATAATGATCGGTCCACATGCCAATCCAGTTACATAACATACATGAATCGACCCTAGATAAAGGTAGACTAGTCCAACATAATAGTTTCACAAGTCTATAAATCAACACATCAATAGTCAATATAGTCCAGAGAGGGTGCAGGTTCCACGCAATATGAGAGCCAATGCATGCGAGCATGTTCGGCTAAGCTTAAAAGTTAACTTTATTCCTTTTGAGCTCAAGAAACTGCTTAACTTAGAACAAGAAATCCCTGTAAAAACCAATCTTATCGAACATACAAGTAGTGGTGGTAATAGGTCGAGCCGGCGGGCAATGGGCCGAGCCCCTTAATCTCATGAGCTCGGCTCAAGTTCGCGGCTCGTTCAATGAGCTTAGGCTCGGCTCGTTGAATTTGGGCGAGCTTGTGGGCCGAGCCGAGCTTGGGCTCGTGGGCTTGTCCTTTTTTTTTTTTTTAAGAGTTTTACAAATAAATGAAATAATAAAAAACACTTTTAAAAAAAAATGTTAAAAAATACAAATAATTTAAAGAAAATAATTTTTTATTTTTTTTATTTATATCATATTGTAATACTTTTTATAAAGTATAAAATATTTATATAATGAAGACGAATTATTTTTTGAAATACATTTACAAAAAATATTTTTTTGATTTCTTTTTAAAGTAAATAAAATGTAAATCATCCTCCTTTATCTGAGTTTGAGCCGACTACATCAATTTTAAGTAGATAGAGTTAAAAATTATACACAAACAACTTATTGTAACGTGTACAATTTTTTAAAGAAAATTAATTTAATAATTAAAAAATAAAGAAATTTTAATTAATATAATTAAATCAAATATCACTTACTTGACGACATGCAATTTCAGGGTATTTATCGTATAGTCGAAAATAAGTGTCATATCAATCCTTCACGCACATTAACGCTTTCAAAACATTTTCTTTCAGTTGGCTCCTCACATCGGTCAAAACCCTTTTACCTGCACTAAAAGCAGACTCCGAAGAACAATGCTGACCGGAGGTATCAGCAGATCTTTCACAATTATAGAAACAATTGGCCAACGTCTTTCATACTTTCGCCAGAATTCAATTACTTCTTCTGAACTTTTTTTAATTGTTCTGTCTGTTGACATATTATGATTTAAGTAATCAATTAATTCGACAAGCATCGCATTTTGAGTTTTGGTCGATGTTTAATGAGATGTAAATGCAGACGACATGACACTAGATGAACATATTGCAGTTGCATTATATCTAAATGTATTAATGCCTTGAAATAAATTCATTATTTCCGCATCATCTTCTTCAATTTCAGTAGAATAAGTAGGTGCAGAGGGTACCCGACTAACATTCGCACCTATTCTTTCCGCATATAAATCATACATTCCACATAATGTTTGCTCTAAATTCTTATAAGTGATAGGTATATCAAGTATTAAAACTTTATTGATTTGATCAATTACGTATTTAGTTCCCGAAATATTATATTGCGGGTTCATTGCGCATGCTAAAAGAAATAATATAGGCAGTTCTTCCCAATATTTTCTAAACTTTAATTCCATAGCAATTATAATTTCACTAAAAGTATGATCATTTTTATATTTATGGAATGTTTTTGCAATTATATAAAGGCGTTCAAGCACCATACATCTTGTGGGATAATAAACACTGGATAAAATCTTTCTGGTCTCATAAAAAAAAGTCAAAAATCGTTGAACTTTCAAAACTAAAATTCAATCGGATTCATTTAACATACCATCGTCATCACTTCTAACGTGTCTATTGTTATAAAAGTCAGTTATTAAATTTTCGAAACATTCACATGACTTTAATAGCAAGTAAGTAGAGTTTCATCTATGGTCTACGTCGCTAACAAATGTTTTAGCAGTCGTCGCCCCTAGCTCGGCACAAAAATCTTCAAATACTTGTTTTCTACCAGGAAAGATCGTAATATATACTAATGCATTCCTAATCCTGTGAAGTTCATCCTTTATATGTTTTAAATCATCTTGCACAATTAAATTCAAAATATGACACACACAACGAATATGAAACAAATACCCACCAAAATCAGGTTGAAGGGTCCTACACAATTTATCAACGACTACCTTATTAATACTAGTATTATCAAAAGTAAAAGATCGAATTTTAGTCTCACAATGATATTCTCTAATAATACTAATAATAGCATTATATATATTATTAAAATTGTGAGGAAACTCAATAATTCTAAAAACAATAATTTTCTTATGCATGCACCAAAGTGAGTTTATATAGTGTGCAATTGCAGCTATATATATTATTTTATTAACCTCTTCCCATATATCAGAAATTAAAGATATAACACCCTCATATTATTACAAATCCATAATTAATTATTGTTTTGAATTATTGAAATAATTTATTGTATCGGCACGAAAAGTGTTTCGACTTATCCCAACGTACCTTGGTTGTAGATATTCTTTCATGAACGAGACGAAGTGTTGGTTGTCTGCAATAGCCAGAGGCAACTCAATGACGGCAACAAATTTCACCATTTCGGTTCGAGTATTGTCCTCCGAATACACCCACGTGGATAAGGGTGAAGTTGAAGAACCGGCGTCTGGACTGCCAAATTACAATTATGTTTGAGCAGCTGGAAGAAGTCCATGTCTGGCTACATATGCTTTGTAGTGACGATTGAGATGGGTGGTATCAATTCCTTTTTGACATTTCAATCTTTGTTGACAGTATCTACATACTGCTTTAGATTCTACAAGGCCATCGACGACTTTTCCCGTTGAAATGAACTTAAAATGATCCCAACATTTTGCTTGTTTTTTGACCTTTCGCTTTCCCCTCGCATTTGGAATGTTTAATTCAGCATCTTCATCCTCATGTTCCGCTTCGGGAACGTTAATATCATCTAAATCAATTGGATTGTAGATTTCCTGACCGTGAATGTGAACATTTTCAGGTATTGATAAGTCATTTAGACCGGCAAATTCATTTGAAAATTGACTTTACGCCGTCCTAGGCGATTCGCCATGATATGACCAACATCCTGTATCGAACAAGTTTTCAATAAATGAGCGTTGATTCATTTGTTTGATTGTTTATGATGAAATCTTAACTAAAAAAATATAAATGTAGTAAGATTGTGAGAATTGAGAATTGAATTAATTGAAATTGTAACTAATAAACCGTAAAAATTGAATTGATATTGTATATTTTGTAGCACAAAATAGTAAAAACTCGATAATTAACATAATAAAAGATAGTTGAAAGAGTTTGAGACTTGGAGTAGCAATTGATATGAAAAAAAATCTTTAGGGGAAGGGGTATTTATAGTAGAAAGAGGGGGGGGGGGGGGGGAGGATAAACTAGTCAACAGTGGGAGAGGAGGGGGGGAAGGGGGGGGGGGGGGGGGGGGAAGGAATTTCAGTGATCGAAACGATCACTGAAAAAATTCATTGACCAAACGGTCACTTTACATTTGGGGGCTCAACGAGCCATGAGCCAAGCTTGCCCACGAGCAGCTCGCCTCCCGGCGAGGCCCGCTCGACTCGTGCTCGGGCTCGTGATTTTACGAGCCCAAACTGCCCACGAGCCCCATTTTCCTTATGACATCCCTACATACAAGCTTACTTTCAAGTGAAAAGTGAAGAATTAAATAGAATACTACTATTTGCTGTGAAAATTCATAACTTGTGGAGATTAGAAACAGAAGGCTAAGGTTTTACAATTGCAGATTTTACATCCTTAAATTTACGTAGAAAAGATATCGTACACTACAAAATGACAGCACAAGTTGTAACAGGCCCTTCACCTTTGTGACATTGACCTGAACGGGATTTAGACACAGTTATTAATCAATATTTACACAACATATATCGACTCAATTGTGAGACGTGCCCTTTTGGCGTTGCTCCCACTTAAAACTTCCATCAGATTGCTCTGTTCATTAGGATAAAATGATACACAGATGAATTCCCCAAGCCTTCAGGCATCATACCCGTGATAAAATGATTCTTGTTCTGCTGCTATAAATGCAATACGAAGAGTAGAAACAGCAAGAGAGCCCATAAATTGGAGGAAAAGATACCTTCAGAAGATGCGAAAATGAGTTCATCAGATCAAAAACGCAATCAATACCATTGAGAACATTAGATCACATCACAGTGTACTAATTGCTGTCACAAATGAGAGTAATAAAATGCAAAATGCAGGATCGAGCTGGACTTGTAATAAAAGGACAAACACACACAGATGCTGCCATGTGGGAATCACTGACTAACCCCCTCCTGCCAAGGTCTTTTATTCATCATCATTTTTAACCACGTAATAAGAAATAGGTAACAGTGAAGAATTCATTTTTACAAATTGTGTTAAGAAAAAAGAATGACAGATTCAAATGTTCTTGTGTAACTTATAAAAAAAAACAAATATATACTCACATGGAAATGATGAGGCTGAAACTAAGGGCATTACGTCTGGAGGCCCTGCATGGAATTCACCCTTTGATGGGGGCTGAGTACGAGAATATGCGACATTTGGTAATGGGCTTGCAACAGGAACTGGAGGTATTTCAGGTGTTGGAGAATACGTGTGCTTGGGTTGTGAAGGAGCTGCTCGAGGCACGTAAACCGGCGGTGCAGTCGGCGACACATGAGAACTCCTATTGGGCTTCCAGGGGAATCTATTTCTGTAACCATTATGAAAATTGGGAGGCTCTGCTACTCGACTCTTCATTGGCACAGGTGTAGGCGCTGGTGCAGATTCTGGGGAGACTTTACCTGTTATAAATCCACTTTTTCCCATTGCCGGTGCAGGTGAAATACCAGGAACAACACTGGCATCATGGTGGTGGTGGTGGTGGTGGTGGTGGTGATGGTGGTGGCGGCGGTGGCGGTGGTGGTGAGATTCTGATGAAGGACCAGGAGAAGGAGATGGAGATGGAGATGGAGAGGGCGAGGGTGAGGTACCACTTCCATCACTGCTAACAATGCCGGATGAAAGACGAACTTGCTTAACCCGACCAAATACAGTGTTATTTAAGCCAAGATTTGCAGTACGAGAACCAGTAATGGTCTGAGCTAACTGCTTCGACCTCGACTTTGACGGATTAATACCCACAGCCAAGACAACCCGAGACTGAACTGTTGTGGGTGGAGCCACCGTTGAACCTTTATGATTTGTCAGGCTAACATACAAGTTCTGCATTCCAGAAAAGAGGCAAAGGCATAATTTAAGTACGTATTTGCGAGTGCTTTTAAGGACTTATACGTTGTGGTCTTACGATATGTGAGAATAATAAGTGAGTAGTAAGTTGAGAGTCCAACAAAATATGTGGATTAAAAGTATGTTTGATTAGTTTAAATTCCAAATTAAGAATTGCTAAACATGCAGTAAATTATTAAGGTGTTAATTAAAGCATACAAAGTAGGCAGACAATGTGAAGGTTACGTGACAGATTTAACTAAGATTTAGGCAGTCGGGGCATTCGAGACTGATTATGCAACTACAAGGAAAGGTTAAGGAATCACTTGTTCCTTTTTAAAGGCTAGAGAGGAGACCAACTTGCTACCAAGGCAATTCATTGTGGACCAAGGATGCAAATTTCCCTAATAATTAAAGAGAGAAATAAAAAAGGAATAACAGAACCAGACCTCATACGGAGCAAGATGTAAGCACGACTTCAGTTGGCTCGTAAGTTCGTCGAAATTATATAGTATTTGATCAATGGAGAAGTTCAAGGTAAAGTCGAAAAGGATCTGAATTCTCTGCATAAGAAATGCCTTCTGTTCAGGACTGGCAGTAATTCCTCCTTTGAATTTCAGCACCTCGAAAGAAAATGGATCGCCAAAAAAAGATGTACTCAAATGAAAAAATGATTGGTGTGTAACTAAAGATACAAAGGAGTCTCTTATTAAACTTTGGGTAGTCACATCAGAATCAACAGCAAATACAACCTTTGTTATGTTTAATCCATTTAACGGTCGTAAAGGTAATATTTCCACCTGTCATAAAAATTGACTATATTAAGATTCGGGGAAAATAAGAATGTGATCTAGGTAGAAAGCGGAAAAAGTGTAATAAAGTTAAATGGTAACATTAGAGACTTAGGAAGTACTTTAGTTGTGGAGAAGCTTATTTCATCAAAAATGTCATTCTGAAGTTGCAAGATATAGTCTTTAAGAAAAGAAGCCGACTGATTAAGCATAAAACTTGCCACTATGTTATAACCTGGAGAATATCAAACAAAAAATTACAAAACATAGCAATATAACAAGAATACATGAAACAGATTGAAGTTAATCTCAACTCGTAGAAACCGGAAAATAGTGGTCTAGCATTTCCAAAACTTGAAGAACTAAAGCTTTTCACTACAAGATGTGCAAGCTACACTTTTCTTGCACAAATGCCAAGTGTGTTACTAAAATTGCCTAAACGTGAACTCTGACCAGTCCTATAGGACAATCAAAGAGGTCTGGATAGCGAAGTTTGAATACAAATATAAGCATTTACATCTCTTCAAAACTCCAATGTGAAAGATCTCCCCTACAACTCCCTGTCAACTTAGACTTAGTGCGTGTTTGTCAAAGTTTATAATTAATTTAAGTTGTTAGTTCTACACAATGCATGGATAATAAGTAATTAAAAATTATGGAAACCACTAAAAGTGTAGATAAAAATAAAGTTTGACCAACTTATAAGCGATTACTAGATTTGCTAAAAGTGTTAGTTCATTCTTGTACAACATTGTCCATTATAGGCCATTAGTTCTGGTGTAAATGTAAATAAAGTGTTGGTCCGTGTTTGGTGTAGTTGAAAATCAAATTGTGATAAAAATGGATATAATATTTGGTTAAAAATTGTTGGTCTCATGAAATACGATTAAAATTAATTATAGACTATAATGTAAATTTTTATCACAATCTTAAACCACACCAAACTGGAACTTACACTGGTAAAATTAGAGCAACTCATCTTAAATTTACGCCTACCTTTTGTGGCATTAGATAAATCTTTAATACAAAAACTTAACATGTTAGTGCAGTAGGAGATAAAATTATTTCATACTTCGTCTGCAATATTTTTGAAAGACTTCTAGAAAACCTATAGATCGCACCACCAAGTTCACTCAACTCTTGAATCCAGAAAAAACTAATCCTCTTCTATCTATTTGAAAATCTGTTAAACCTTAAAGCACTGGCATTGACCAAAAAAACAGTAATCAGTTCTCATATTCTAGCACAAAGCTTCGTACACAGATTGCTATATCGTTAATCACACTAAATGAACTATCAATACTATCGAACTTAAAGAAGCTGACTCTCTACAAAATAAAACTCGGAAATTGCAAACCCGTGAATATAGCATAAGTCACCTCCCCATTCTGAAGCTTCCATTTTCCATGCTTTACCAGTTTTCCGCATTACATTCTGCCTAATTACCATATGAATAACGCAATCTTTGATTACACACTATCATTAAATTCACAGTTATTCAATCAAATAGACGGCAACTAGCCACTAAAGCCCAACGCTGCATAAATAATATGCACTATGCATAAATAATACAAACCAGAATTTTGCTAAGAAATGTCCAACTTAAAAATCAGCTCAAATCATTTCTGCAGAAATTCTAGATTTTTCAACCAAACAAGAAGTAACAAAAATCCCAAAAACCGATAAATGTTAGCACCTCAGCCAAAGCTTAGATGCCAAGTGCACAAATAAAATAAACCAACACATTAGATATATATAGACAGATCTGAACGCAGCAAACAGTAATAAATATCATACCCAAGGCCTGCAAAAAATTGAAAAATATGAAAATAAAAATATATAATAAAAGAAACCCAACCAACCTTGATAATCCAGATCCAAGTCTTTTCTATCTCCGAAGTGAAAGAATGGCATCCAAAAAAAAGCAGACAAAAGAACTGCAAAACCGAGTACCAAAACAAAAACACATCGAAAAGTCACCACCTTCGTAAGCCTGCTACAATTCAAACAACCCCTATTTCTGTTCTCTGAATTTGGAGTTGTACTCTGAGCATCGAGACTTGTAATTGGCAATGGCTGCTCGCCCTCTACTTTCCCCATTGCATAAATATTTACCAATGTGGATTTTTCTTGCTTTTTCCCACGTGGGTTTTTCCGCTAGACTCCATTACTGGTATTTTTTGATGAAAAAAAACCAGTCCATCGATGCCATTGAACTTTTCTTTTTTCTTCTCTTTCTAACTGTAGAGGGAGAAAGATGGGGTATTTTTGATGAGTGGTCAAGTGGTGGAGTAATAAAATATTATCTTTTTAGGGTTTGAATTTGAGTGGAAGATTGGATTAATTTCTGCAGATCAACTGTTTTTTTCCTAGGACACACGAGACAGACGAGTCTTGACTATTGCTGGCTGGTTTGGATTCAAAATTTGCAATAAATAGTAGCCAAAAGGAGAAAATAAATCTCTAAAATTAAAAGAAGCGGGAGGTGGAATGAAATATTAATAAGGATGGTTAAATTGTCGTCTTTGATTCAATATATTTTAATTATAATTAAACTCCTAAATCTTTCTTCAATGTAATAATTATTTTCTCGAATTTTTCTTTGAAATCTTTTCTTTAACTTATTATTAATCTGTATGTCTCATCATTTATGATGACCTATATCAAAATATTTTGTTTTGATATTTTAAGATGGGAAAATAATTTTTTTAAAACATTTTTTACTTATTTTTAAGAAAATATATTATGAAAAAAACAAGTAATTTTACCTCATCTCAACAAACTCTAGAACATACAATTGTTATCAAATACTTAATTTATTAACTAATGAAAAGTTTAAGGATAAAAATGTCATAAAAAATTATTAGGAATATGAGTGCAATAATAAGCAAAAATTAAGAGCTTTAAATACATTTAGAATGTGGTGCCTATATTAACGTTTGCATAGATCTTATCAAAATAAATTATTTCTTTAAAATGTTACTGATGTAATCTAAGGATAAATCGAAATAGAAGTAAGTAATATATTCATTGATTTAGAAAGAAATTAACTTGCAGAATCCAATCATTTTTTTCTGGAAAAAAAAATCTATAATAAATTGGGACTAAGCAAGTGTAAAAAAAACAAAATAATAATAATAATAATTTGCACAAATACAATCATTTCAGCATATGCTTCCAATCTGGTCAACCGTGGAAACTATATTAACGTTTGCATAGATCTTATCAAAATAAATTATTTCTTTAAAATGTTACTGATGTAATCTAAGGATAAATCGAAATAGAAGTAAGTAATATATTCATTGATTTAGAAAGAAAATTAACTTGCAGAATTCAATCATTTTTTTCTGGAAAAAAAAATCTATAATAAATTGGGACTAAGCAAGTGTAAAAAAAACAAAATAATAATAATAATAATTTGCACAAATACAATCATTTCAGCATATGCTTCCAATCTGGTCAACCGTGGAAAGGGGTAGAACCGGCAATAAATTGGACAAATACAACGCATGACCTGCCCGCCATTCACGGGGAATTCAACTTAATTAGGCACGGACCTTGCGGTGATTCAAAGAAAAATGTGCATTAAAAATTTAATCATATTTTTTGACATTTGAGGTGCCAACGTACTTAACCTTACACTATAATCAACGTTGTTAGGGTTGTAACGGATTTATCGTTAAAAAGTGTTTACTTGAACATTATATTCTTGGCTAGTGGAAGATTATTTTTTCGATTAAGTACTATTAAAATGTCGTGCACTTGTAGGATTTTATTGTTACACGGCAACCCATGTGAATAGTAAACCAATTTCATTATGGTGGCGTACAAACTGCACTTCCAATTCTAATCGTCCTTCCACTTGTAAGAGATATTAATGTTGCATGAGCTAGAGGTTACAAGAGCCGAGTTGGTAGAGAGTGTCTAGAAGTATTCAATTAATTGAACTACCTATAAACGAGGGAAAAAACAATTTTATTGGCTTGATTCGACTAAGCCTAAACGAACTATCTCAAGTATCAATGCGTAGGAGTGATATGCACATGTTGGCCACAATGGTCGAGTTTCATTAAATCAAACCTTGTCATTAAAGGGTATTTGAGAAATCTATATATAGCTTCAACTAGGCCTCGGCACAGTTTAGTTTGAATCAGTTTCGACTATAATTCGAAATCAAAATCCAATTAGTCAGTTTGAATACATTTCAACTTGAACCAACTCACTTTAACTCTTATACGGAACTAAACTAACTCGTTTTGGTTCGGTTCAATTCGATTAGTCGGTTTGAATTTTTAGTCCAAATTAATTTTTTTTTTAATTGTACAAGATTTGGGCCCACTTAGATTACAAGAACTAAAAAATAATAATAATAACATTATATTACTAAAACAATTGACTAACAAATCAGGTTAGTAGAGATAGATCAACAAAAAATTTAAGAATTTCGTTGATTCTTTATGCATTATGTAGCATGATTGCCTACGTAGGAAAAAATGCTAACTACACAGAATGAGCTTATAAAAGGAAATTCTCAATATTATTACTTATTGACAACATCATAGATTAGAGTGAATTAAGATAATTATGAAATTAGGACTTATCTTTTTATTATTTTTCTTAAGAAAAAGGTAAACATAGAAATGGGTTGGGTCAGTTCGGTTAACCAGCTGTTTAAGACTTTAAATCATGGTTGAGCTGACCCATCACGATATTGTTTAAAAAAAAAAAAAAAAAGTCAATTACATGTGTCAAACCAACCCAAATCGATCCAAGCCTCTTCGATTTGATTGGTTTGATTGATTTTTTTGCCCAAACCTAGCTTCAACATCTTTGGATTAAACAATTATGAAAAAGTGGAAATTATCCTTTTTTATTCACCTTTATAATCTCAAAATTCTTCTCCTCATATTTTCCAAAGTCCTTTTGAATTCTGTCACTATGGAAAGATAATATAAACCTTTACATCACAACTTTTTTACTTCAATTGACGTTCCAGTTGTTTTTGTTACAAGCGATATAAATAACCCATTCACTATTATATCGTGGAAGCTTATTTGTTTTTTCATGTGCATTACTAGGAAAATAACGTCCTCAGATAAGCAACTTTGTAACATGCCTTAGAGTCGAAAGTTCCATATCTCTAATTTTTCGCATGGATAAAGATATTTGTACAAAATCTTATTGATAAAATGGTGTACTCACTCTCACAAAATTAGCATACCCCACGTGAATTTAAAAAAATGTCAGCTTGTGGTTCACACCTCCATTATAAGTAGTGAGTAACGGAGTTTGTAAAAAAGTTTGTACATGTAGCATGATCCTTTTCCCATTCATCACTAACTTTGTCATCTATTTCCCCCAATTACTTAAAAGAATATGTCCAACAATTACTAGATAAAGGCAAGGAGAAGAAGAAGTTCTCATTAGGAGATGAATGTGGAGCTCTTTTTTCTTCTTTTTTTCAGCCAAAAAAACATCAAACATGCTAGTGTCATAGACAAATGGGAAAATTACATCCCACCAGGAGTTTAAATATCACTATTCTTAAATCGGGTAAGAAATTTAATTAAGCACAAATGTAATTAATATATAATAACAACATTATAAAAGTAAAAAAATTTACATATCCCCACCCACCAAACCCATCCTTCTACCCAATAAATCATTTTTCAATCTATAATTTACACCCGATGTCTCTCTCTTTACGAGGCAATCACTCCGACTACTCTCGACGCACACCCACTCCTACGATTAGGTGATTTGGTGCTTAGCGATGCACACCCACTCCAGCGGTGCTCCTATTTACTGCATGATCTGGTTCTCGACGACGGCGACTGTCCATTAGTAGATCTGTTATTTTCTTTTCTATATCCCTCTCTTTTTATAATTTATGAGTTTGATTTCTCCAATGGATATGGTGGCTTGTGTGGCCGATAGTTGCTATGGTAATCTTTGTGTGGTTATTGTGGTGTGTGTGGTTGTTGTGATGGTGGTTTGTAGTTGATGTAGGTGTGGTAGTGGTTTTAGAATTGTCAGCTGGCAGCTGCGAAGGTGTGGTGATGGTGAAGTGGTGGCGTTGCTGACGGTGATGGTAAGTTGATGTTGGTGTGGTGGTGGTGGCAGTGGCGACAGCGACAACAACGACAGTGGCGACAATAGTGGAGTGGGAAGAAAGAGTGGAATCATTGTTTGGGTGTTGTGACCATTGATTAATTTGTGACCTAAAAGAATATGTGAATGTGACTTTTGGGGGTTCGATTACAACACAACCACTGCCCTTTTGTGCATTTGGCACTTCTATTCCTTCGATGCTTTTGGGGATTTTTTAGGTTTTGGATCTAGTGAGTGGAGGTGATGGTGATCTGAATGGTTGTTTTTGTGGTATTGTGGTGAGGTGGTGGTTTGACTATGGAGGTGGCAACTACGATGGTGGTGGTGTAGTGGATCGATCTGCATTTTGGGAGTTTTTTTAGTTTTTAGATCCGATTCATCTATATTTTGGGAGGTTTTTGGATCTCGTGGCAATGGTGAATCTGGCGACGATTTTTGTTGGAGGTACAGGTGAAGGTGTTAACAGTGATGGTGGTGTTGTGGTGCTGGCGAGGGTGGTCGCAAGTGGCGACGGTGGTGATTCAATTATTTGGTTATACATGACCAATCATTAAACTGTGACCTTAAGAATTGATAACTTGTGATTAAAATATAATTTGTGACCAACTATTTAGGCATATGTGACCAACTACTTGGCTAATTTGTAACTAAATATTAGGTGTTTGTGACCAATAGACTATGACACTCATAGATAAAATGCAACTTGTAATTTGAATTATTTGTGACCTCGAAATAATATGTGACCTACAAAATTTTTTATTTGTGACCAATTAATTTGACGATATGTGACCACTAAATAAATATGTGGTTATTAATCATGTAATTGTGACTTTATTATTTTATTTAATAAATATTTTTAATTAATAAAATATATACCTAATTTTTGAATTTTCGAACTATTTACTTTATTTTTTGAATTGGGGTAAACATAACACTTGAAGTGTGATTTTTTCCCTAGACAAATAGAACTGGCCTGGTCCACTAGCAAAAAGACGAGACAGTCCACTTAATTAGTTGTAGGTCCAAGAAAAAATGTAAAATCATGCGATGGTGCACGCACAATAGGGCACGGGTCCAATTCTCTCTCCACAATTTAAAGCCCAATATAAAGGAAAATTGGGCTACTCAAGCCCATTGAGGGCTTTACTCGAGTTATTGTCACCATAAGCTCTATAATCAACTACACATTGCAAGTCAAGTTGGCCTTTAAGCCACGTTTTGGTTTACCTAAAAATCATATTTTTAGAAGATTTCGATAAAATTTAATAGAATATGTGGTTGAAAAATTGATA